ACTTCACACTAAAATTCTATGGGGCTGAAGGTGTCTCACTGGCTTTAGAAATTACTTAGCACGCACAGCACAACCCTATCCTGGACAAAAATGATGCATGAGTTAAAAAGATTTAGGAAGGATGAAGAATTAAATGTATGAAAGTGAGTTTGAAGAAAAGAACTCCAACTTTCTCCCACTGTTGTAGCAACTACTGTTAATAGTTTGTTTTTATTTTCACTATTTCCAAACCAGATGAAGGAAAAAAAGGGTTAATTTTTTTAAAAAAAAGGTTCATTCTTAACGCAAACTGAAAAAGTAATGAAAGTAAAGGAACATATTATTCATGAGGTATAATGAGATAACAACGGTCTTATATTTGGGAAATTTCAGAGTGCACATGTATAACTTTTTACTAATACCATGAACAATGAACTTTTACTCATGAAATTTTATTTGTTAGGTAAAAGTAAACTATTAAGTACATGTTTCTTTCCCAACAACAGAAATCTATTTTAACAGTATCACTGGACAATTCTGTTAAACTTTTCATGTCAGGGGCACTCTATCTAAGGTAATGCAATTCCATTTTCTAGTAACAGGCATGTCACATACTTGGAGCCTTACTCATTCAAAATATGATAAAATCTTTTTTTCCCCCACAATGAATATTTAAAATGACACTCAGAATTTTAAAATACTTGGTGATAAATGCTCCATTATTACAATACATTCAGTCTCAAAAACCCCCCAAGAAGAAAACAAAAACCCCAAACTTATTCTCAGTACTTGTTCATCTACTAAATTCCCATGTTCACACTTTTCCTCTATGGGGGGAGTTTTGTGAAAGAGAAAAGCGTCACTTTCATAAGTCACTTTGTGTACAAAAGATTTTGCATTATTTTATATGCTCTCAAACTTACCTTTTCATTTTTCTTGTCTGTCTCTACTACTGGCTGCTTTGCTGTTACATTTCGAGGAGTATGAACAACTTCATCCTCGGCCACTTCTATAGTCCGTCCATTGGGCTATATGTGCAACAAAACAAGTATCATGTTATAAAACTGCTTGGTAGATTATAAAGATTTTTACTCAGGAAACTATATACTACAATCAAATTTTACTCCTTGATTCAAATGAAAAAGGTTTTATGATTTGACAGACTACTGTTTCAAGTAACATGTATTTTCTAGTAGTACTATTGTTAGAAAATAAACATCCTCTATCACAATGACACAAAAAGTGACTTTACACAAGGACCTCATCTGATGGGCTGCTTAGGAATCAGACTGACTACATCTGTGGAAGGACGCACTGGAGCAGATCACTATCAGCTGTGAAAACCAGACCAGGGGTGGACTATGGATCAGATCATTAATTACTCATGTGCAAGTTCAAACTGAAGCGGGGGATGGGGGGAATGTTCATGAGAACAAAAATATGATCTTGATTCTATTCTATCTGAAATTCAAAACTACCTTAACAGGTTTGCAGCACTAAACACCAATAATAGAAGACTCTGAGTTATGGGATGATATCAAGGATATATATCATCCACGAAGAAAGCAAAAGGTTCAAAGGAGAGCTCACGAAGACAAAACAAAATATTATAATGGAGTGTGCAGAGAGCTGGAATTGGGACAATAAAAATGAACTTGCTTGGCATTTCAAGATAAAAGAACTGAAAAAAAAAATTTGAGCCTCAAGCTGCAAAACTGAGAAATGCTATGGGCAAAATCTTGATCCAGGAAGTCTCAAAAGATTGGGGGGGGGGGGGAAGAGATGGACAGAGTATACAGAATCACTGTACCAAAAAGAATTGGCTGATACTATTTCGGGAAGTATCATATGATTAAGAGCCAAGAGTAACAAAGGAAGATGTTCATGCTGCACTGAAGACACTGGCAATTAAGGCCCCAGGAATAGACGGGATACAAACTGACACAGTTTAACTAACAGATGTAGCCCTTAGACACAGGGGCTCACCAGTCTATGCCAGGAAATTTGGGAGACTGGAAGAGATCCAGATTTGTTCTCAAGAAAGGTGATCCAACAGAATGTGGGAACTATTGAACAGTATCATTAATATAACATGCAAGCAAAATACTGCTGAAGATCATTCAAAAACAGCTAGAACAATTAAAAAACCCCAACAACCCAAAGCACACATACAAATACCCCACAAATAAAAAAACCAATTTGTTAGAACAGTACATAGATGAACAAGAAGGACTGAGAAGAGGCCATGACGCCAGGGAGATCATTGCTGATGTTTCATTGATCACTGGGGATACTGGCTGAAAGGGGAAAATACCAGAAGAATACCTATTTGTGCTTTAATGATTATGCAAAGGCATTTGACTGTGTAGATCATAACAACCTATAATTAACATTGAGAAGAATGGGATTCCCAGAGCACTTAATTGTGCTTATGCGAAACCTATACCTAGACCAAATGACTGTTCGGTGAATAGAGCAAGGGAACACTATAGGTTTAAAATTAAGAAAGGTGTGTGTCAAGGTTGTATCCTTTCCCCATACATATTCAATCTGTATGCTGAACAAATTATTCAAGAAATTATGAAGAGTGTGGCATCTGGATTGGAGAAAAACTCATCAATAACATTTGCTATGCAGATATAATATTACTGCTGAAAGTGAGAAGTTAAAGCACTTGCTGCAAAAAGATCAACCGCCGCAGCCTTTAACATGAATAGCATCTCATCAAGAAAACAAAAATCCTCCCACTGAACCGAAAGGTAACATCATGATAGCTGGAGACATGAATAAAGCCACACCCTTGGTACCAGCTCTCAGGATATCAGGAGATGTACTGCACTGGGAAAGTCTGCATGCAGACAAAGAGCTCTCCAAATTATTGAGGAAAAAGGATGTCAATCTGAGGACCAAGAAACGCATGATTCAGGCCATGGGCTTTTCAATCACTTGCAATCTATCTTTGGAGCTAAACAATAAATAAGGATGCCAGAAGAGTAACTGATGCTTTTCAAGTATGGTTTGGAGAAGACTACTGAATATTTCATGGGCTGCCAAAAGAACAAAGAGATATGTCTTAGCAAGAATGCTCCCTGAAGGCAAAAGTGATAAAGCTTCATCTCACATACTTTGGGTATGCTGCTAAGAGGAGCGATTCCTTGAAGAGGGACAGCATGCTTGGAAAGTAGAGGGACTGTGAAAAATGAAGACTGAAAAAATCAGATGGACTGACATGATGACTGTAGCAATAGACTCAAGTATGTCAGAGAATGAGAGGACGGCACAGGAGAGGACAGGGTTCTCATCTGTTTTTCATGAGCTGCTACATGTCATAATCAACTCGACAGCACCTATCAACAGCAATATTACAAATATTTTGTCTGATCCCACCTATGTATCAATCTCTCAAGCAAAAAAAAAAAAAAGTGGAGACAAGAACTATAAAATTACATTTGCAACGTTCATCTCCAATTAGTGACCTAATTGCAGAACCTTTTACTCATTCCCTTATCTTCAAGTTTGTTTCTACATCTGTAAAATAAGGTTCGATCTACTTTTTGTGTAAAATATCATATAGTAAAAATTTTAGGAGTGGTAGGTCAGGCTATTACAACTATGTAACTCTGCCCTTGTTATAAAATTCCACAAATAAGTAACAGATAAGCATGGTTATATTCCAATAAAAATGTATTTACAAATGGATAATTCATTTTAGTCTATGGACTACAGTGTATTGGCCCTGGTATTGGATAATCGTAGCATTATTTCTAAGATAGAATACTGCTCCCAAGATTAAAAATCTTCACCAACTTACTGCCATAATCTAAAAAAGGCCACCTCAACTTGCTTAACACTCCTAAAATAAAATAAAGTAACAGCACTCAGATGTTCATGAGCCAAATTAAGTGTGTGACTCTCAAACTTGGCTTCTAATCATATTCACACAAGTTATTTCTCCCCTCAAGCAAGCATTTCCAAATCTCATCACCAGATCCTGATTTTGAGTCAAGAATCTGATGAGTGAGGAACTGGTATCTGTAACTCTTAACATCTTCCTGCATCCAAGTCCTTTCTTTTCATTTCTCAGTTCTTGAATTAAAAACAAAACAATTGCTTACTTAATACAGCAGAAATATTCTGATCAATGCAATCTGACTGGTCAACATTCCTATAACTTCCTTTCTTTAGTTCGTTAAAGATAAAGAGATATGTGGTGGTGGAGGGAGAAAAACCATTAATATCCTAAACAGTATCAGTTTGTAAGCTTTCCAAAGATTTGTGGGGTAAATCAAAACAAAATCTGTCTTTTAGTTGAGTAAATTCCCAACTAATCCACATTTTAAATTGCTGGGTCATGAGCAACCTGCAAGCCAGCTAATTGTAAACGAGAACTAAAACTAGGTCTCCTCACTAGTGGCTTGTTTTCTTTTTCCTGTGCTGCTTCACAACTTTATTGTAGTGTAGTTTCTTCAATATCTCTTTCTCTGTGTTCAGACGGGTCCATATATGTAAAATTGTTTTGCTGAAGTCCTAACTACAAATCCATTTTGACAAAATCAATTTGGTAGCAGGTATTTAACATGTACGCGCGCGCGCGCACACACACACACACACACACACACATATCAAGTGCAAGGCTTTATCACTGACGCTTCCATTCTCTCCACAAATAATTATGAACGGACTTAATTATACAGCTCCATTATTTTTAATGCCAGCCCTTTTTATAGTTCACTGACGAGAACTTCCAAGCATCATAATTATACTAATTTTACAGCATCCACATAGAAAAGTCCCAAATGGACATTTAGAAATGCAGTCAAAATAAAAGGCTTTTTAAAAATGGCTTATGGATATTCATTGGAAATTTTACCATTTGCTAGTGAATGAACCCTATATTAAAAATCTAAATCTCAGACTTCATGCAAAGATACTAAGTACCAATAGGTTTCTTCATCAAGCAGTTTCATTTCTTAAGTAGAGAAGTATAGTTTGAGCAGACGGGTAAGATTTTAAGTGTATTGTTGTTTCTAAAACTCAAGAAAAGGTCTACTTCACACTTCCAAACTATACTATACTATTACTATTACTGTACTGGCTCATTCACTTCTTGTCTGGGTTTGTACTTACTACTCCTAAAAGGTTAGGAATTACTGATGCAAGTGTTTGTCTAGTCTGGGCACATACAGCCCCAGATTTAAGTTTTCATCCTTACAACCAGTAAATATTTGAATTTTTATTGCACTCCGCAGATTGTATATTTACCAAGAATGAAAGGTCTATGGCAACTCTGCATGAATCAAGTCTATCACTGCCATTCTTCCAACAGCAGGGGCCCAATTCATGTTCCTGTCAAATTTTGGTAATTCTCATAATGTTACTACACACTTTGCAAACTATGGAAAAGAGAAGCCTAACCATTATACATACAGGAAGTAAGTGGTGGGAATCACCAGACTTGTTTGCCTGTACTGATCCAAGACGGAATCTGCAAGTGTACGGTATTAACTGTACTGTGTGTGTGCGCTGGAAGCTGTGGTGGTGAGCCACAATGGAAATCGGCTGACAAGAAGAATGGAAAAAGGTAGGCAGGGAAACAGCAGCGAATAGGAATTTATTTCATGACTTGATTTCAAGAAAAACGTATTTGAAGTTAGTTCATCTTCAATTTATTAATTCCATAAAAATCCACAACTGTTTAGGTAGTGTGCAAACAGGACATATAAAAGGAACCTATTCTTGAGATCTGGTGGCCTAGTGGCAAGAAATTGCACTGCAATCCCAAAGGCGTGCGGTTCAAATCCACTAGATGCTCTGCTGCAGCAGAATGGGCAATCTCCTGTTGTACCAGTAAGATCCAATTTGATGGTACGCAACAAGGATTAAAAACAAAAACAAACCAAAAAACCCTATACTTATGATACAACCATTCTGGAAGGCAGTGGTGCTTCCTCAAAAAGCATTCTGAACAGAAATTCCATATGACGCAGCTATTCATTCCACTACTTGGAATATATCCTGAGAAAATGAG